GTTGCTTAAAGGCCGGCATATAAACTTTTAGGATAAAATAATTATATTTATTGTAACATATATATATATATAAATATAAAGCATATATAGCTAAAGATATATTGTATGTAACATTCAACCTACATTAGCTAAGAATTAATTATATGTAATAAATTATATGGTAATTAAAAAATTGTAGAGCTTTATACAAAATACTATGGAATAGTTTTAAGTAATGTGAATATTAAATTTGAGGAATGTAAAAAAAAACAAATGATTTAATATAAAATATGTTAGAAAAATTAAATATAAAAAGAGAAAATATACAGGCATGATATTGCAATTTATGAAGACACTCACATGTGCTCTCTGTTAATGTAAATATGGATTGCAGGTGCCGCTAATACTGGAGGAACACTTGTAAGGGCAGTTAAGTGCAAGTTCACACACCACAGCAGACATAAAATTATGACTAACAACAGAATAAACAACCTCCACCTCCCTAGGGTGCAACATATTTAAATAAAAGTACATGTAATAGGAAAGGATAGGATGATTTGTAAGATGTCTGTACAATACTTGTAGATAGTAAACCAATGTTATATGTTCTAACACTCAATCCTTGTATATCATAAATTGTTTTTGTGTATTTGTTAAAGCCAAATAATACCTTTAATAATAATCCTTTCGGATTGCAATTTTGTTTTTAAAAAGATAATGCTTAACATGCTTTTACCGATAAAGCAAGTTAGATAGTGAAATAGTCCTTAATCTAATTTGCAAGTTTGAATTCCTGAAATAAATGTATCTAGTATCTACTTTAATTTGCAAATGTTAAGTTTTTGTGTTCATTCATCTACATAAATAAAAATTATCTACTCAATGTTATAGAATTAATAACTGAAAATATTAAAATATACAATAAATTCGTGTGAAGAGGATAATTAAAAAAAGTACTAAGAGTACTAAAAGGTATTAAAAAATAAAGAGTACTACAATATTATCTATAAGTAAGTTCCTTAAAAAATTCGCTTCAGTGCATTAAATTTATATCTTTTCAATATATGCAAATGATTAACTATGATTAACTTCTATTGCTATGAATATTAAGAAATATTAATTTTATGCCGTTTTCGATTTCTAAATCTAGGGTAACTTTTTGAATCAAGATTCACTTTTAGTGCAATTTTCATTTTAGATGGGTGAATCTCAAGAGAAATGTATAACACTCAAGATTAATTTATAACACTCTAGATATTTTGCCAGAGTGGCAAGCTTACCCTGAAATTAACAGCTGTTTTATATGACTTGACTGATAAAGTGTAATTTGACTCGATATATAAATTTATGAGTATAAATGTCTGTTAACGCAACTACAAAAATATAGGATTACTCTAAAAATTTTTGATTAGGCAACAAAATTTGACAGAACGAGAATGAATCTAGATTGAAAATTAGATTTACTAATTAAAAACGTCATTACATTAAGACTACTGGAGATTTTTACAAAAAAAAGAATATTTTATTTGTTCATATATATAAAAAGAATAAAATATATTTACTATTTTAAAATGTACTGCCAGATGTATGACGTTATATTATTATTATGAAGAATCCTTGTCATAACAAAGTGCTACTTTCGGGGGTTTATAGTTACTGCCTTAATTAACCACCGTTCACACATTAGTGCAAGTAAATTTCGCTTTGCAAAATCTGCAGACATTATTAGTGATAATCCCTAGTTTATTTAGCTAATAGTTAATCTTACAAAGTTCTGTGAATGATCCTGTTATAATTGTCTATAATTCTTGCCCTTCGTTAAGTTCGAATAATTCTTGTATAAACTTAAGCTGCAACTATCCAGAAATCATTTGGAGTATAATAAATTCTGTAGATTGTCCAGGTAAAGGTTTATCTATTAATTTATTTTTTTTCTTCTTTTCGTAAAAGCAGGAAAAAATTATTCTTTCCAGGTTACAAAGCTAAGCTATTGTATTATTCACCTAACTTAAAAATATATGGTCGTCTCCCTTTACACAAGTTTTATTAATTAAAATTTTGTATTTTATATTTCAAACTTTCAGCAAAAAGTGCATTTAACAATTTATCTAATTAAAGATAGGTTTGAGTATGAGTAACCAAAAAATCATGTTTTAAAATGTACATGTAAGAATTTAATGCTCCAGTTTCTTAATTTCCGAAAACATCTCAAATATTAGCCGTAATTTTTTCTTTTAGAGTAACAAAAAATTATTCGCAACTTATGAAAGAAAGCATGTGAAGCAACAACAGTGCTCTTAAAATCTTCAGACTTAGGTTTTACTCGCAAAAAATTTAATTCTTAAGTTTCAATGTAGCCAAATTCATAAATCAGTCTATTGTGAATATTTATTGGAAATATGTTACAAAAGTTCAGTCCATCGTTGAAATCATATGAGTATTTTACTTACAAATAAATTAAAATACATAAATAAATTAATTAATTTAAATGTATAAGATAAAAATTATGGCCGAATGTTCTCCTGGAAACGTATTGGAATGAAGAAGAAGTTAAGATCAAAATGCCAACCATTGCCCTTCTAATATTCATTTTGTTTTCTTTTATTTAAACTAATTAATTTTTATTGTTTACATTTTTTATATATTATATTGTACACAACATAAAAAACATTTTTCATATATAAACATTTACCATTTTTTAATGGTAAATTTGTTTCAACCAGACTTAATGCTGTTTTTTTACAACTCTGAAAGAAAAAATTACGGCTATTATTAAAAATAAATCATCATTTATATAATTTGTAAAGACTTACAACAAGAAAGTATAAAACAATTAGAAAAAAAATTTATAATATGTAATATAATATACTGTGTTTTATTTGATATAATATATTTATATATTATATTATAATGATATAAAATAATTTCATATTTCATGATTTTAAGAGTAGGGAAATTTTTTACTTCATTATATTATTTTCTGCTGAGTTTCATATATTTTGTTATAGTTTTTAGTTAATTCTTAAACATATATAAAAATCTTTACAAGTGAATATAATTTATAACAATTGATAATTAATATAATATGCCTTGAGAAAGAAGGTAAAAAACTTCAGAACGTCGTTGACATTTCATAAAATACATTAAATAATAGGATTAATTTCATTCTTGTGAGTTTATTTTAATTAACTTTTGTTAAACATTCCTTTAGTTAGCGTTCTTTTCAGTACTACTGTTTCAAGTATTAAAGATATTTTTAAGATATAATTATTTCAAATATATATATGACAGCATCCATAACAATTCAATTTTTTTATATATAATCAGAGGAACGGTAAGATGTTATTATTTAGTTCCTAGAACTTTATGATCTACTTTCCAAAACCACTAGACCCCGACTACAAAATGTTGCTTGGCACTTCTGTCGAAGTTCACAAACAACACTTCTTCAGAAACTGTGGAACTACAGTAATATATGATATTAAGTTAACTTTTTTATATCCTCTTACAGTATATTATACTAATCCTGGAATCCTGGAATTATGTAGTATCTATAGTATTTATGTAATTGTTCGTAAAATTAATAAGGAGCTTACAAGGTTGCTAAAATAATTCTATATACTATTGTTTAATCTAATTTAGCTATTTATTTATAAATAAATTTAAGTTTATTAGTTGCTCTTAGGAACAGCAATTGTAAATGTTTGTAAAATGCACAAAAAGAAAAACTAGAATTGACCAAAGTTTAATATATATAAATATATGTGTGTATCTATATTTTCAAGTTAAGCACCTATTATATACGTATATATTATATGTATGAAAAATATATGTTCAATTTATTTTTTAAAAATAAATAAAAAGAAAAGCTACAACAGTTTTTTAATTAAGGGAAAAATTATAATAAAATAAACATTATTTTGATGATGTATGCAATATATCATTGCTTATATAATGTATGGAATTTTGATTTATTATATTATAAAATATATTTATCGTATGGAACAATTTTATTACTGTCCTTATAGACCTATAAAAAGTTTGGTATTTAAAGTTTTCTGATTCGCATTAACCTCTAAGATTTAAGTTCCTTAAATGATTTTATTCAAAGCAATCTATATAAAAAATTGTATATAAATAAATTGTAGTCGATCAATAATAATAAAATCTAAGTCATATGTAAGAGAAGGAATAAAAATCAGAAAAAAAGAATTTGATACTAGTGTGGATTGACAAATTTGTTTATAAGAATACTTCTAAAAAAAGGTCCAGCAGCGGCCATATAGACATTAGGACAAGAGATAATATTTTCTTATTATTGAACCCGATAATTGGGTTCAAATCTTTCTATTAGATAGATATAAACATACTTCTATATTTCAAAATACCTTAACATAAGTAAAAAACATAATTAAATCTTTCTATTAAATTCAACACAATTTACTATATCAAATCAATATCATAAATCAATTTACTCTTCTCTGTCCTTATTCATTATACAACAACTTGTACGGCAGAATTGTTCTCTACTAACTACAACAAAAATTAATATCGATAAAATTATTATAGGAAAGGTTTGCTTATCTTAAGTGATATATTTACTCCTCTAGGCATTATTTAATGATTATTATGAAACAAATATTAAACTAAGGTGATGTCAGGTAACATAAAGAGAATATTTCCGCAATTTTTATGCCAATCAAAACAAAACAATCGCAAAATACTATTAATTAATACCAGCACTTAATTGTACATCAAGAAATTTTATGACTATTTGAGCCTTTTAGCCTCTTTTCTCTGCAACACCATCACTCCACTACTTACTACAATATTTATTAGGACTACATACTTTTGGAGTAGACCTTCAAGTTCACACATTTTTAAAGTCAGCGACTTTGATAATAATGTGAAAATGGTTTGCAAACGATGGTTTATAAGCATATACTATTAATTAAAATCGAAATTACACTTTAGTCATGTATATGTATTTACAATAATTTATTAAATAAAAACATCAAATTTATAACTTACTTTAATAGATATAATTAAATTGTAAAATCACTGTCATAATAGGAAGATTTTAAAATGCTTAAGTTCTATAGCCCATTTCGCGTTCAAACTGCGCTGCGGTTAACGATCCTTCAATGCCTTTGCAATTTTCATTAAATACGCTATATGCGCTCAATTCCTTGGAGTGTTTTGGACTAGTGCGTGTGTTTAAATACATTCCTACTAGCGCAGAGATTATTAAAAATACTATGCCAAAACCTAGTTCGATAGCGATTGCGTACAAAGTTACCCAAAACAGTATATAAACAATGATTTTGAAATATTTAAAATATTTGCTTTCGGATTCGATCTCGGTTTCTGGAATGTTCGACTCAAATTCAGATTCACTCTCCACTTCCCCGCTATCGTTATCATACATAACATTATTCTTTATTAGTCTCTGATTATTATTTTTTGTTTGTGGATGCAATAATGGTTTATTCTCCTCATCATCCTATTAAATGAAGAATATTAATCACATTTATTTGATTTGTTAAGTATATAAAACTTTGCCTCTATGAGAATTCTTGATTGTTTTTCTTCCACGTCGCCTTCTTTTGTAACAGCTGAAATGATAAAGCTCTTAACTGCATCGCCAAATTTCTTGAATCTTTCTTTGCGTCTTTGTCTTAAACGATATTCATTAAGTTTACCTTCAATGTTTTCCATTTAAAATTTTCATTTATTTAACTGAAATTAATTTGATCCAAATATTATTGCTTGCTCACACTGAAAATTATTGTAAACAATAAATAAATTTATTAAAACAGCTGCACTCATTGTAGAGTTGCCATACTTACAATTTGTTTTTCAATAACTATTTGTTGAAAACTTCGTGGCAATCCATATTCAAAGCAATTTTACACATATAATTATAGTATAATTTTTCTTACATTTAGCATATTTCAATTAAATAAAACATTTTATCTCTAATATATAAAAAAAACTCAATGCCAACTATTCGAAAAAATTATATGCGAAGTGAACTTTGAAACATTGAGCGGCAGATGGCGCTGCTCAGTGAAACTAAATATCACATACAGAGGTCAGATTAACATAATTTTAATGTCATCTCATTATTACCAGTTATATTAATTTTGATTCAAATCGCATAATATATTTTTTTATATATATTTTTTATCAATTTTTTAAACTAAATTTTTTTACTAAAAATAATTTTAATTGAAATTGTGGTTCATTTTGAATTTGCATTACAAAACTAGTAGTTTTAAAATTTAAGAGTATATAAATAAGTCTGTCGAGCTACTTGTAGTGACTTTGAGTAACTCTGTGTATACACAAGTGCAAATAAAAAAAGCATCTAAGATTTTACACAGAATTTACTTGAACAATTTCTTTCAAGTAAAATTTGTGCTACATTAAATCAGCTGTTTTGGTTTAAATCTAAATTTTTGAATTGTTTATTTACGCGGCTCTGGTAAAAGTAAAAAAATTCTGAAATTACAATTGTATTAACTGTTATACAAAAAAAATTGTGAAATGGTTCTAAAAAACATAATAAATATTTCATTAAGTGAACTAATATAAAGTAGAATATAAAGTACTTAACACACTTCGAGACTGTGAGATTTATCTGTAATAATAACATAAAACATATTTTTTATATTAAATTTAATAACTAACAGTACTTTAACGCATCGAAAGCAAGTACTATACCACTATTGATCTTATAACATACTTGTAGAAAGGTACAACTTAACTTTAGCATCATCAAAAGCAATTCTTGATTGTTAATATTCGGTCTGTCAGTCAAATTTGAAACTATTAAATAACAGTAATTGGTTCTGCATTCGTTTCAATCATAAAAGAAAAATCGAATACTCTAGTTCTGCAGTTCGTGTCCTTACTGGCGTACTAACGGAGCACTGTACCATTGCGCCTATGCTCTAATGATGGCGAGTTCCAACAAAAGGATTATGCAGGAATTGCTAAGATGAAGAGGGGGCAGAATCTATCAACCACTTCCTGTGTCTCTGTACAGAACTGCAGACAAGGCGACTTCAATATCTTGGGGATCGCTTTTTCACTGCTTTGGAGAAGATAACGAAAGCAAACTTATCGGATCTCCTCAACTTCATCTGCAAAACTAAGTGGTTTAACAAGGGTAACAAAAGTTAGCAACTCACCTCTTGCGGCATAACTTTTTAAGGGCATCACAATGGGCAATATATGCCTCTGAGTGGAAATGCTAACAACTGTCAGCATGCGCTTTCTGAACCTAATCCTAACCTAGTTCTTTAAAAACTATTTCGGTTTCCTGTTCGTAGCGTTAAACAGAAAAATTCATATTTATTTCGGAGGGTTCCAAATCAGAGATTAATTGTTAATTCAACTAAAAAACCTATAAATATCAATTGAACAAAATAAGGTAACTGCCAAAAAGAGGAGAACCAAATGCATATCATTAAAAATATATTAAAGTTAAAAACTGTGATTAAAATAAAATAAAATAAAAAAGATTGAAAAATTTAATTTAAACATATATTCTTTATTAGATGAGAACATATTAATGCGATATTTTATCTAAAATATTTTTTTTTTGTTTTTTCATTATAATAATTTTAATAATATTTTTGCACATTTCAGCAAATTCAATGATTTTTAATGAGTAAATAAAATAAAAAAAGGGGTAAAGCCCCTCAAAATGAGTGAGAGGAAAATGCACTAAAAGCAAAGACCGAACTTTAGAGGCAAAAAATATCGTATCATTGCATACAGGATAATGACGTTATATCGGTGTAGATTCTGATATACGACAACCTTGCCCCATTCATTGCGATCTTCTAATTCACGCAGTACTTTCAAAGGATTTAAACTTGTCCTTCTCTCAAAGGATTTAAACTTGTCTTAGGTTATATTAGCAATGAGTTTATATAATATTAATTTTTTTTTTTAATAAAAAGGAACAATTTAACCAAAATTCTAATAATTAAAATGATTTTGCTAAGCTATTTGTTAGCAAAAAATTCAGCAAATAAATTGCATTGAACACATTTCTTGTAAGTTCAATAAGTGAGAGATTCGTGGTTCTTTCGGTAGAAATTCAACTTAAATTTTGATAATTTGGTGTTTGTGTTGTGTATTGTGTATTATGTTTCGTGTAATGTGTTTTGTGTATTGTGTAACGTGTAGATAAGTTTTTATTTAATATTTTTATTCTTCTTCAGATTCTTCGGTAGCGATTGCATCAGTGTCTGATATGACTTCATCGATGCCTGTGCTCAGTTCGATGATTGGTTCCTGTTTTATGTCTTCGACAGGAGTGGCAGGTTGTTCAACGATTGGCTCGTCAGAACTTGTGGCAGTGACATTTGTATCAGATGCTGCTTGTTGTAGTGATTGCAGCTCTTGGGCAGCAATTTCAGCTTCTTGACGGGCGATTTCAGCTAATTCGGCAGCTTGACGTGCTAATTCAGCTTCTTGCTCCTCTGCTGCTTGTTTTTCAATTTCAGCTAAGCGATTTAGTTCTTCTTCACGAACACGTTGTTCTTCGGCTAAACGTTCTTCTTCCGCTTTGCGTGCTTCTTCAGCGACACGTGCCTCTTCGGCAAGACGAGCTTCTTCAGCAACGCGTGCTTCTTCAGCTAAACGAGCTTCTTCTGCCAAACGAGCCTCTTCAGCCAAAAGCGCCTCTTCAGCTAAACGAGCTTCTTCAGCTTTTCGAGCTTCTTCGGCTAAACGAGCTTCTTCAGCTTTTACAGCTTCTTCTGCTAAACGAGCTTCTTCAGCTTTTCGAGCTTCTTCGGCTAAACGAGCTTCTTCAATAACACGTGCTTCTTCGGCTAAACGTGCTTCTTCAGCTAAACGCGCCTCATCTGCCAATCGTGCTTCTTCTGCGGCACGAGCCGCTTCTGCTTGTTGCGCTTGCTCTTCAGCTAAACGCACCTTTTCTTGTTCAGCTTTACGTGCAGCTTTTGATTCTGCAGCTTTTGCTTCAGCCGCTTTTGTTTTACGTTCACTTTCCAAACGTTTTTGTTCCTCTTCTTCAGCCTTGCGTTTCTTTTGTTCTTCCAGAGCCCTGTGCATTAATCAATTAAATATATATTAAAGAATATTATTTGATGAAATTTAATTTATACGTACTTCTCAGCCTTACGTCTGGCTTCATCAATACGTTGAGCTTGTTTTTTTTCCAATTCTACTTGATCCAAAGCTTCTTCATTTACAGTTAAAAGACGTTCCTGACGCATACGAACTTTCTCTCTGTGTTCTTCATCCACAGGATTTTCCAATGGTAGTGGAGCAGAAAATTTTCTCGTTGGTCGGAAAGGGTCCAGATCCGCTACTACAAATTCAAAAAAAAATTTAATCATGTTTTTTATGCTTGTCTTAAGTGAAGAAACATTAGTTTATATATATTATATCTGTTTAACTCTATTTTATAGTACATTGTAAATACTTACATCTCTCCCGACTTGTCCGGTGGTCAACTGATGCAGTCGTGTTTCGGCCATAATCGTTTAGCGGTTGTGTGTGAGTTCTTAACTGATTATGACTGAATTTTATTTGCAATCCAAAAAACAAAAAAGGAGTGTGCACAAAACAAATACGTACAGAATGCAATGTAAAATGGGTGAACAGGAAACGGATACGTTAAATAAATGGGTGTGTTGCAAACAAAACTATTGTACTTTTTGTTTAAATTCGCAAATTTAGTATTATATTTTTCTGCAATCGTTTTTTGAAGCGTTTTTAATATATTCTACAAATCTATCTTGTATTTATTGTTAATATATTTTAATATTTTGAGGTTTTAGAAGTTTACTGTTAAAGTAATTTATAAATGTTTGAAGAAGTTCTAACATTAATATATTATTAAAATAAATAAAAACAAATAAAATAATAAAAATAATATAAAAAAAATATTTACAAAAGAAATTCATTACGAAATAGGTCAAGAAGTCTCAGTGTCTTCAGTGTCTATTAGTATCAACTAACTTCCTTTTAGAAATGTAATTGCTCCAATATAAAATAGAAACATGCATATATTCAGATCGATTAATCTTTAACTTTTACGTACATTATCAATGTCTAAAATAAAAAATACAGAAACTCTCTGAAGAGTCCTATAGCAGAGAGAAGAATAGAAAATGATAGGTACATAACTATTACATTTTTAATATATAATAAAAATTAATTAAAGACTATAAATTATTGATCTCTATTAATTATGACAAAAAAACCTGGAACTAGAGCACTGAAAGTGTGAACAGCCTTGAATACTTGTGGATAAACACGATTAGTGATCGCTTCTAATTTGACAGGCACGAGTTCTAAGCCTGGCACTTGCAGTCCAAACAAATTATATACG